TCATTTGAAATAAATGCATAAATAATAGTTAATTTCAACCATCTCATCTCTTTGAGATTGTAGCTTTAAAGAATATGGACGAATGTTACTTTTACATTAACTCGTAAAGCAACGAGTAATTCGCCTTTCTACAATAGTTCTAATTGCAATTTAAAATTATCCTAAATTTGTCAAACATTTCATTTGGTACAAATTGACTGCGTCATGACAGATTGGCGAACACTCAATTCTTTAATTACAGTCACTTTACAGCGTCAAGAGGAAAAGGACTTACCACACAGTTAAACATGTAGGTTTGTGCAAGCATATCCGACCATTGTGTGTCTTCAAATACCAATGACTGATCATCTAAAGGAAATAAGAATGTGGTTAGCTTTGGCTGAAATCCAACTGTAGGTGCGTACACGGAATCGGTCCATCAACTTTCCCCCCAAGCAAAGTGGCGCATTTCGAGGTCAATTGATGCCGATTTGCCTGTTGCCTAATCAGCAATGCAAGGAGCTGAAATGTTGAAATATTATCAGTGGGTTTTATGCTAATTAACTAATCTAATGAGTTTGAAATACGTTTGTGGCAAATCTCCATTGAGAGTTCGCCCAAGAGGTTCACGGCTGCCACTAAATGACAAAACCAGTACACCCTATTGCCTGAATTGACGGCAAACAGAAGATATACAATTTAAAATCTCCAATTATTCCTACTCACGCGAAATTGAATTTCTAGGTTATCATTTGGGCTAGAGAGCAGATTTTCCATGTACTCATTGTAGTCTATAGTATTCACTGGTGGAACACTAGGATAAAGAGCATTTTAGAAGTGAAATTCCGGTTTTGTGATCAGTTTGCTTGATATTAAGACTTACATATTTGTTTGGTGAGGTCCATATGGAGTAACATATGCGATCGATATCTGTACCAACCTAAAAGTGTGAAAGTCAATTTAGTTCTGAACAACCCTCTCCAATATTCACTTTAGACATGCCCTTGCTCGATACACCCAGAGTAATTTGAATTTATGCTTCGTTATGCTGGGTTCCATCCAAAAATATTCCAATTATAAATCGTCTACTAGCATCGTCGTGATATTCGATTCTTGCGAAAAAACTTGTCATCCCATTGCTTACAACAAAATTGTTTTCCAGGTGAATAAAATAGCAATCGAATTTCACCGGTCATAGTCAAGACTATCAGGCACGTTGCCACAGAGGAATGAGAATTTGGCTTAGTTAGCAGCCTTGCCAAACTTTCAAAAAAACACTTTCTCGTGCGTGTAGTACAGTGTTTAATGAAAAATTAGGACAGGAGAAATGCCCAACACGGACTCCATGCTACAGGTGAATGTAGTCGTCAATATGGTAAGTTGAGGGGTGTGGGATAGACTTACCTCCACGTGGTGCACCATGGGCAACGTTTACTCATGCGGCAAAAGTCCATTATCCGGCAGGTGACTTCTCACTTCAAACTACCATCACTCCACTGTATGCCATATTCGACTACCTCCACAGTACTCATCTCACCTTTTACTACCTTTGTGTTTGTCTCTGTTACATTCTTGAAACACTCTTCTGTTCCCCCCGCCTCTCAACTTTCTTTCACTTTGATGCTCCTTCCCCTCTGTGAAGCCTGAAGTCAGCTAAAGGGCTAATGTTAACTATCAAAACGACTGCCATTTGGTATAAATAAATAAAGAAATAAATAAATATGGTAAGTTGATTCTGCCCTTCTAACTTTATCTTCTTTAACGCTTATTACTCCCTCGACCTAGCCCCCATGCTCTTACTGACCTCTGTGTCCTTTCGAGCTATCTTGCCTTAACTCTGTATATTCATCTTTACAATCAGTAAATGGTTTGGTATTTACTAGTGTAACACAGATACAGCCCGTTGTGTTTTGAGCCAGTATAATGGTGGGCAATGGTTAAACAGATTTCTCTCTCAAGAAGCAAGAGCGTTATTGAAGTCAGTAATGGGCAAATAATTTCATAGAGTATAAGATCAATAATGATTACTATTTGAAGTAGTGTAAAACTAGCGCTTACCGCGGCGGACTACGTTGATACAGCTCGCTAAAAATGAAATTTATTTTAATTATTTTCAGATACTTTAATGCAGTATTATCAGTCAATATTTTTTCATAATTTTGCAACTAATATACAGATTTTCTCTGAATTGGTTACATCATTACTTTTGAAAGATCCATTTCAAACAAATGCAATCTCAACTTGCAAGAATTCTTCAACTTCTGCTGGAATTCGCGATTTTAGCCACCTCAGTCGAATTCTTCTGAAGAATGTATAACTTATCATTGCCAGGAAGACAGATGCTATTGGAATTCCGAGAATCATAGACGTATATATAGGTATCTCTAGAGTAAAGGTAGGGGTGGGGAGGAAGAGGTGGTAAATTGGTTTTGACAAAATTTCAAAGTTTACCCTCAGTTGTAATGAAGATTGGTCGTGTTGTGCTAAAACCTAGCTTTGAATAAAGCCTCATTCGAATACTAAGGGGTGAAAAAATGTTTCGGGTAGATAAGATGCAATGCTACTTTAACTAGTTAAATAAGGAAAATTTACGCGTATGTTGTTCCACTTTGAAGGGGTCCATTGAAGTAATGAGAATTTCTGGGGGTACCTTCTCCACTTCCTAATTCAAATAGTCCATCAGAAATCGTATCAACACTTCCATCTTCTCCCAAACTCTTCATTATCACCTCCCATCCACTGTACCTCTCGTGGTCTCTGTATGTCTAGACAAAATAAATTACTTAGTTGAGTCGGAGCCTACGCCTTCAATTGGATTCGGCTGATATATAACGGTGGCGTAAGGGTAAGATTTATAGGGGTTGATCTGACTCTCATTTAAATCATTGTAATATTTAGCCTCCTGAACCACCATGGTAATATTTTCCAACGGTCCAGTTTGGCTAAAAGGGATCAGTGAAAATGGAATAAAAAGATTAATGGAAGTTGTAGACCGCCCTTCACTAGAATCTTCGTAAAAAATTTGTGACGCAAGTGCATCCAAAAGCCCAATATCCAAACCTACAAAAAAAGAACACAAGTATAACCACTGATACTGTAAAAGTAGGGTGCATTTATTGAGGGGAGAGGGAGGAATTAACCTCCATTCCAAGTTGATGCTGAAACTGAGTCTGATACTACACCGCACCCCCCACCTTGATTTTGCACATTAGATCCTGTACATGCTCGTACCCTGATACCATAGGTGACATTTGCTGGTAGATTATACAAAGTGCACTGACGTTGATAAGGGAGGCTGGTGGAACATTCATGGTATGGTGACTGGGAGAAAGCAACGTATCCAATGAGATTGCCGTTAGGTTCTGAGGGGGGACTCCAAATGACCGTCAATGCATTGTTATCTACCGGAAGAGCAACCACCTCACGTGGAGCCGAGGGCACTAAAATTCAGTCGAAAAAATAGAAATAAATAATTTTGGAGGAGTATTTGGCCACCATTACATTTCTAACTTAACTCTGGTGGCTTAATTCCTTTGAGACTTAAAGCTCAAAATATAAGGAGATAAAGCTTAATGCCTTCCAGACACTGCATTTTATGGCAACATACATTTGACTTTTGGATCGCTTTGCTTCAAGAATGCAATTGGTCAATTGGCCAAAAACAATTAATAAATTCATTTATTTGATTAGAGCTTCTAAAATTCCAACTTGGGTAATCGAATCCTTTATGAATTAAACGGGAAAAATGTCATTAAATATAAGTTCATATTAGAAAGAGTGGTTGCGTAAAAAATTTCTTCCTGAAAACTTTTGGGCTGTGTATTTACACATAATGTACACATGTTCTTCGATCAAAAGGAACAGTGACTTAACTGAGGCCAATTTCGATTTTTCAGTTTCATTATCTTTTCATACCTGTTAATCGATCAAGCAAATTACTGAGCTAAAATATCGCCATTTAGTGGTCAACATTCCATCTGACAGGTGGTGGTCTTATAAAGGAGGTTCATTATTGGAGTTGTTATCTAGAAGGTGGGGAGGAATGAATGGGTGTATTGGGAAAGTCTAACTTAGTTTGATCAATTTCCCATTCCTACATGATTGCTCACACGTGAACACAATGTGAAAGCCCAAATAAATAGGCTTTACTGCGTTGACTATCAAAACTACTCAAACGCGGATCCGAATTCAAAGGATGTTGTTAAGCTTAATCAAGCTTAGGAAGCTTATTTTCAGCGATTGAGTATCTTAAATCTTTAGTGGAGTCAAAGTTGGAGGGGGGGGAGGGGGGGGGGAGGGGATAGGTCAAAACGCAGTTAATCCAAGAAAGTGTATTAAATAAACGTAGTTGTAAAATATAACAACAAGTCCTCTGCACGTTCCTACTGAATAAATGTCGAGGTTTTTGGAGATGCGAGAGTCAACGGATTGATAGGAATGATGCAACACCACTTGGAGAATGACACATTCCAAGACAGTCTCATCAGAAAAAGTAGGCTGATATTTACTTCAAAATGTACTAGATTGAAATGAAATTCATTCGACAAGGAAATTGGACTACTGTGGTGGAGTTTTACTCAAAATAAACGCCATTAGCTTCGACTTCTACCTCACTCCGGTATTGGACCCAGCTCCAGAGTCTGGAATAAGCCGATTTTGCACTTTTCCGTGAGGGATCTCATGAGCAACTTTGGTTTTGTCCATTAGAAGGGCTTTTTGCAGTGCTGGCCCGGTGATTAGTGTCATTCTTGACACTACCCTATACATACATTTTCGAATAGAGGGCTAAGATCTGAGATCTGGGAGTTCTAAGACCACATAGTCATTAAGACTGGTGTAATCATGCAAATTTACTGACAACCATTTGCACATTCTCTAAGTTGTGGCATGGGACCGAATCGTGCTACCATCTTTAAATTCTCTTTCTTTCCTCGTTCGTTATTCAGGGCTTAAACTCCTAAGTGATTGGCATTTACACTTAGGCACCTGAATTCAACACCAGGCCCCTATTTAAAAAATTTGCAAATAGACATCAAATCATCACCGTCATCATCATCGACGGAGGAGGAGGAGGAGGAGGTGGAGGACACACATTCAAATCTCATGACAATGGGGAATGTAGCCTGCATGCCTCGTTGAATGTCCTTTGAATTTTATGCAAACCTAGTCATCCTTATTCTGCATGCTATTGATAGAAGTTTTCTCATCGGACAATCGACCAGGTTGTTTAAGCCTTGGCTGGTAGTTTCGCTTAGCAAAGAGATTTCACTGTCCCTGTCAGACGATTTTCGAAAGCCTGCTGCGCGAGGACTCGATTCCCACGGTGCTTGCAGCACTAGTGTCTGTTAAGGCATTCAGAGAGTTCAAATATTTTGATAGAGGTCGAAATATTCCACTGACTGTGGAGACAACGCAACGCGAATTGTGGTGGCAGGTTGACTGGAAAATCCTTTGTGAGAGCGTAATCAAGTCAGATATTGCTGCACCTTTTTATTTGAAGGACATCTTATTGAAAATAGGTTGAGCTTTAAGCTATAAACTCACACAAGATCTTGGGGGATGCTTGCATTCTAAGTTCGAAATAGTCCTGTTTCTCCCTCAGGCCTTTCAAACGATGAAACTTTGACAGCTGTGTACTTCCATATCCAATCCATATCTTTACACTTACCTTATTGATCAAGTGGGCCAATATATTTGCAAGCTTATAAGTATTGCGGTTTACTGTTTATGAGCAAATGTTAATAAATTTATTCTCATTTTGATTCCGTTGCCAAAGCCTCAAGTTGCTAAATGTGAGATATCGGGTTTATTATATACTGCTTAAATTGCATAAGTATACTAAATTAGGGCTACTTACGGCCAGGCCAAGTTACGCCGTAAGTCTTCTTTGATGGCGGCCCACATCCATCGGTGTTACAAAAAGCAAGTGTGGCTGAATACACAGTGAATGGAGACAAGTTTTCAAACAGACGCTGATTCGTGGATTGAGGCGATATTTCAGAAAGTTGAAACACGCTGTCGGCGTAAAGCGTAATATTGAAGCTGAGAGACTTGTCTTCGGTTTCATTCCATGTTAGTAATAGTGCTGATGAGGATATAATTTCTATTTTCGGTTGAATTGGTACTGCATAGAAGATTGAAATACACCATTTAATTTTAATTATCTAGACATATACCACCGTTTTGTGTGCTAAAAGTGTCCGAGCATTTCTTAGAATTTATTTTTGTCTAAACTCACCATTTTAGTATTACATTTGAGGTAGATGCGGAGTCTTTTAATGAACGAGGAATGAGAATCAACACTTGTGAAGTACATTATAGTTATAAAACAGAGGTATGGAATTACGACATGCTTATACCACCGACATCATTGGCGTTGTCATTTGCCCCCCTCCCCCCAATGCAACATAAAATTGTTTTGCCAATATTAATACTTGAGCGGCTTGAAAATGCCATTGTCAGAACGAGGGGGGGGGAATGTTTTCGAGAAGGAGATGGAGAAGAAGAAGGTTAGGGAGAGAAGTTGCGATTGCTACAGTTTTCCGCTTTGTACAGCTCTGTTACTTTCATCACAAAGTCTATCTGAGATAGGATCTGGTTACTCAATGCCTGAGAAAATAATGAATATAAGCCCCATTTGATTAGTTCAGCGCTGATAACGAAAAGGTTCTTCACTTTTCTAACTGGCCATTCGTCTCAATCTATACGAGTTGCCTGTTGGCAACTCTTAGTTAAGTGATGGAGAGATTGATAATTCAACAGCTCATAAAGATGCTACAGAAGCAGACATTCAAATGAATTTGTCCCTTCACTTTTGGGCATTTTGTGTCCATAAGCATGTTAATGTATGGTCATTATGTAACCAAAAATTCAAACGCATTCTTACTTAACAAAGCTCAACTGTACTCAATTCTCATATTATAGGACAGAAAACAAACTCGCATAAATTGTCTTTCATTTTCTTATTCGTGTTAGCGCTATCAGCTATGAAAAATTTACCAATGGTGCATTCACTTGCGTCTTATTTGAGTTGTGTATTTCGGGAAGGTGTTTAGAACTTAATGGAATTATGTAGGAACGATTTAAAAAAACGCACCAGCAGTTGGAGCTCCTGCTAAAGGTACCAAAGAGTCTTTCTTCTCTGGGATAGTCAGGAGGTGGTCAGAACCTTCAAAAGTTGAATCCGTCGAAGAGAGGCTGTAAATGTTGTGGGAATCTGAAAGAAGATTTTGGTAAGATGGTGAGTTTAGTTGCTTGAACGAAGCATGCACTGTACGTTGGTAATGACCTCGTAAACGTGTTTGTTACACTTTAATGAGATTTAATGAGTTAGCGTGTACCGTTAATTTTAAACGACTTAATGGGAGTTTGAAGTTTAGTTTTAATTAAGTCAAAGAACTGGCATGAAGGCATAGCAGTAGAAAAGAGTAAGAGGACGAGATTGTACGACTATTTTAATTCAGTGACAACGGTCAGGTTATTCCCAGGATTCCTCATGGACCGATAAAACTAACTTCAATATTTCTGAGACCGAAATCAAAAGAAGTTATGCAAGTGCTTGTACTTGGCTCGTTATCAATAAAATTGTTTGTCAGGAAAGAATACCCTTAGCAACCTCTACCCAATCATACTTGCATTCACTTCATTTTGGTTTGCATTCGACGAACAAAATTCTAGCATGTTGAGTAATGTTGTAAAGAACATACACCAATGTTTGTGGAAAAAGAACTTTTTCGATGCCCGAGATATGGCCTAGTATTCAGGGAGGTTGAGAAGCATATTCTATCAGTTCTTCATAGAGTGCATTATTTCCACTCGGCATATATTAAGATTCAAGACTCTAAACCATTAGTTGTCAGAATAGTATGATGAAAGCTAATTTCAAGTTAGTAAATACCGAAACCATCTTTAAAAGTTACAATTACAAAATAAATATTATGCGAAATTGTACATACTAATAATTAAAATTATGAATATCAAAAAAAAAGAAAATTACCTCGAGTTATAACTTACATAAAATCGTCAAAAATATAACAACTCTCAGGCCCATGAAGCCAACGAATACATGCTGCACAATGAAATGAAAAAAACAATTTTTACTCAATTACTGTACAATCTAATTGGATGGTAACAGTGATTGGTAGAAAGAGCTATTTAATTCTGTACTGTGGTGTCACTTGCTGTTCCAGTCTCGTGATGGTGGCCTTCTCTTCTGCAAATTCCTTTTTCACATTCCCAGCAAGGGCAATCAATGTAACATTTGTTTCTATCAGAGGGCAGTTATTATTATTAGCCCTTAAGTTGACTTCGGGCTTCACAGAGGAGAGGAGGAACATCAAAGTGAGATAAAGTAGTGAATGGGAACAGATGAGTGATTCACAGATGTAAAAGTGACAGACAGGCACAAAGGTAGAGAAGAAGGTAAGGCAAGGTGCGTACCATGGAAGTGGTCGAATATGACATACAGTGGAGTCATGGTAATTTGAAGTCAGAAGTCAACTGTCGAATAATAAACTTTTTGCCGCATGAGAATATGTTGTTCAGGGTGCACCACGTGGAAGTAAGTCTATCGCAAACCCCAAGTAAAGGCAACGTGCAGTGCTGAATCGCAGCGTTTATTATGAGGTCGTTTGACCAATCAACGATTCGGTAAAATATGTGATTTGAAGAGGGGGAAATTACTTTTTTTAATTTTTCGTTTGTTGGTGAGAGAAGAAGGTGCGAGGAGATTTCGCTCCCCTCCCTCCCACTGTAGTTAATTTTCTCATAAATTTAACAAAACACATTGATGGGTGTGCTAGAATTGATGCATCCTTTTCTTAAATGAAATACCACATTCGCTTGTAATTACGCTGTCATATCTTTCAAAAGCGATTTTCGGAAGTCAGGGAAACATTCCAAAAGTGTAAGGCAGAACTACATTTGGGTACGCAATGTAAATAATTAAAAGCGCAATTGTTGGCAATTGTTTAATTAAGCTGATTCATTGGAAACCGCTCAAATTTCCAATGGCATTTAACTTATCTGATTGTTAAGTCAATGCGCAACCTGACATTAATCATGTGAATAAGTTGGCTGTTTCCAATTAGACATCTAAAATAATTTCCCATTTTCCACCTGAATGGATACCAATCTATTACTGATGGGCATTTGGCCTTCTGTCCACTCAAGGAAGCTCCGACAGATGGGATTCTGACGTACTCCAATTCTTGCCTATTCCTTCCAACCCCACCCCCACCCTCACCCCCCACAACCCTCCCCTCCCCATATTGGAAAGCACGTGGGTATCTTTGGAGAAGAGAAGTGGATGGGATATGGGGGAAGAAGAGATGTGGCAAGTTCTCCCTTGACGTTTGCCCTCACGAAAAGAAACAATTAATTACTTGATGCTGAAGAGGGGAAGAGCATTTTATATCGCTCCAGAGATCGCATTAGAAGACGAGACGATTGGCATGATTTAACCCGAGCTCCAAAAGAAATTCACATTATTTGTATTGGGTTATACTTACACCTGTCACCTAAGGGACGTTGATGCAGCTCAGATTCTACAGCCAGGGGAACAGGGACTGGCATCGCTCCCACTTCTTGCTATGGTAGAAGAAAGTTATAACAAATGGCAGGCGTTTTGATAGTTATCATTAGCCCTTTAGTTGATTTCGGTATGGCAGGCGTTTTGATAGCTATCATTAGCCCTTTAGTTGGTGGCAGGCGTTTTGATAGTTATCATTAGCCCTTTAGTTGATTTCGGGCTTCACAGATAGGAGGAGGAGGAAGAGAAGGAGGAACATCAAAATGAGAAGAATTCGGGAGGGAAAACAGAAGGGCGATTCACAGATGTAAAAGAAAGAGACAGACACCAAGGCTGAGAAAGGGTGAGATGAGTACTGTGTTAAGGGTCGAATATGACATACAGTGGGGTGATGGTAGATTGAAGTGAGAAGTCAACTGCCGGTTAATGGACTTTTTTGCCGTATGAGTACACGTTGCCCAGGGTGCACCACGTGGAGGTAAGTCTATCCCACACCCCTGTTAGAAGAAAGTAGAGCTGGGAGAAGTAAGATGGCGAGGAGATGACCAGTTTATAACAAAAAGCGTAACCACAGTACTAGATGTACATGGGAGTAAATAATTTGATTGTAGTGTAGGTAACCGTTCGCTCAAACTACAATCAACTTGGTTTTATTTATTTTTTTCACAAATATCACTGTCGTATCATTTTTTGTCTGTGACTATTTCGAATTTCCATTTCCAACTGCCAATTTTACTTCGGCGTTTTGTACGCAGAAAAGGCAACTTTCCTTTTACTTTTGCCACGTGGGACCAAATGTTTGAGTGAACACAAATGGGTCTCAAAGGGTGGGAGGAAGGACGTGGGGGTGGGAGTTGTGGGAGAGGAGGATGGAGTTTTTGTCTGATCTCACTTCCCTTTCCACACATCTGTCGCCCAAAATACTCAAGCAGAACGGTTACGCCTCCCTCACCCCCCTTTGCACCGTCTGTTAACTTTTTTTGGAGGCTGAACAATCCAATGGGACTTGTGTCCTATTGCTCATGAACAATTAAAAATCAATCACTGCATAGAATGCTTCTTGTTATTTGATTGAACTTGGAATGAAAAAAATTACAACTGGACATTTGCAACCGCATGCAATATTCTAAGTGAATGCAACTGAACCGATGAATTCTTTTTATTACCTTTTAAAACTCTGTGGTTCACTGAGATGCACACCTGATCTTGACTGGCATATGCCGCAAGGTGTGAAATCGTTTACTATTGAATGGCAAATAGTAAAAGTGTCAGGTGAAGCTGATGGTAACAAGGACTGCTTATCCCACCTCCCATATCTCAATTGGTGGACCTCCAAAGGCCTCCCTTACATCGAGAGGTCGACTTTTATTCAGTGCATGTTAAAAATTGCTGGCCAAATCTAGGATCTCTCCATGGTATTTGGATTAACATTTATAACGGAAAATTGTAAGTCATATGAGAGGGTGCATTATGACTAAAGTTGCTAGAATTCCCATAAAACCAAGGAAAGAAAAGGGACAAGTTGAAGAGGATGAGGTTCTTTTTTTGCTTCTATTGAGAGTAATTTCAATGACTTTGGAAATGAGTCCTGTGCTCGGGGTACTTCGGAATGGAAGCGCACGAGTTAAACTAATTAAATCTTCACCATCAATGTTAAATTAGTTATCTGTAAATTCTCCTTTATTCCTTATCAAAATGCATCATGTAAAGTGATAGTTGGTGGCAGCACATCTTTCAAAACCACTCTGAAATATGAAATGCTGGCATTTCAATGCTTATTACTTTTA